CGTCGGGGCGCCCCGCCGGCCGGGCCGAGCGTGCCCCGGCGCGACGGGGTGGCCGCTCCGCGCTAAGGGGCGACGCCGCCGGGCCGCGCCACGGGCCGGGCTCGCCCCGCTCCGGCCCCGCGGAACGGCGGAGCGGGCGGAGAGGTGGGTGCGGAGCGGGTGGCCTCGGCGCTGGGGCGGGCGCTGCCTGCCGGCCCGCTGGGACGTACAGCGCGTCCTGCCGGGCGGGGCTGCGGCCTTACCGCCGGCGCGTTCGTGGCGGGGGCGGTTCGGGTTCGTCTCGTCCCGGCCTTACAGCTCCCGGCATCGAGCGCGCCAGGCGCGTTTAAAGCGCTCCTTCTGCAGGGAGTGCGTGCGGTACCGCAGCGGCAAGGGGTGCTTCTGGTCAGCCCTGCGCCTCGCTTGGTCTTGTGCGGGGCGAGCGGGTAAACCGGCTGTGCCTATTGAAAAGCCGTCTGCGTTTCAATCTCTTGTTGAAACTTCACCAAGTGACCGGTAAATGCGTTTCCGTGCTGCTGCTACAGATCAGCACGTCCTCTTGCCACTTTGCTGGTAGGATTTGTTTTTATCTGCCTTTGCAGAATTAAGGTATTTCCCCTGCCTCACGCTCTCCTTCAGCTGGACTGCTCATGAAGTGGTGCTGTAACAAGAGCAGGAGCTGTCTGAAAAGCGACCTGCCAAACACCCTTTTCTCTTTCCCCCAAGCTAGATCCCTTGCCCAGCTGATGGCGTTGTCGCAAAAACAGTTGTGATGGCCCAGGGCCCGGAGCAAGCAGCCGGCTGGGAGACGGGCTGGTAAGAGCTGCTGAGGATAGCAGTCCTCTGAGCACATCTCAGGGCTGTCTTCGACTGAAATCATTCTTACGATTTGTACTTCACTCATACCGACTAAGAGCGTTTCAAATTAAATATTGCCAGGCTGTTAATGTTTCCCTAAAGGCTGATTCTGTTTGGAGGATGAACTGACGTGACACATTTTAGGGTGTTCAAAGGTAGTTAAGTTAATGTGAAAAGAACAGTGTAGATACCTAATCAGTTTTAGAGTTGCTGATGTATCCTTGTGGTTTTCTTTGAGGGTGCGAAAGGGTTATTATAATACATCAGCAATACCTGGGGTTTCCATTGCAGTATCGTGGGGGGTGAATTTCAGTGGTGATAGCAGGTATGCGTAAAGGACTGGCATTGTTCTGGGTGTATGGCACTGACCAAATCAATATTGTGTGCAGGTTGGGGAGTCATACAGTTTAAGTTGGAGACTGGTGGAACAGTACAGTGAGTTGCTCAGAGGCTGGAAAAATTGCCCCGCGGTGAGAGGTGTGAGATCTTAGAGAGCTCTAAGTATTTTTTATAGAAGATTATTGACAGACCCCTGAATTATACCATGTAAGGGGAAAAGAAAACAAAAAATGAAAAAGACCCTGATGCTGATACTTTGGAGAGAAAGGCTTACAAAAAATCAGTAGCTGCAAATGGCTTCCATCTCTGCGGTGGATGAGTAAGAAATGTCCCTTGGAAAGTGGCAGATTTTTGTAGCTGGTGTTTTCAAATCAAGACTAAGTCTCTTCCTGGAAGAGTCCACAATGATGGCCAGGTTTTGTGCTTGTCGCTGTGTACAACTAAAATGGAATGCAGTGAACTGGTGGTCTATTACAATCCCAGTTAGTTGGAATTTGTACTACAATGTTGTATTATTTTAAGGTCCTGAGCGATAGGAATGTATTGGGTTTCACAGGAATTTGTCAGCAGAGTTGGCCACAGACCCTCAGAGTCCCAGGTCATTATCTTTGTTGCTTTTAATACATTTAAGTAACATTTGTTTTTTTTTTCCAAGTATTACATTATCAGAAAATATGATGACAGAAGAAAGGCATGCAGGTAGCAAGGGGCACTTGAGTCTGCAGTTATCGTAATAAACAACAGTGCAAGAGCAAAGGTGTTCCTGATGTTACGAGCATAGCAGAGTTGTTAAAAGGAAATACTGATTTGGTAATGACATTGAATGTCAGATTCCTTGTGAACCTGGAAGAATCAAAGCCTAAAGATAACAGCATGTTGGTGTGTTAGGGCTGATTCCAAAAGGCCACACTGCAGAGCAGCAAAACCTTGGTAGCTAACAGTGTGCTTCACACACAATTTCATGATGGGAAATACATTTCTGGGGCTTAACTCAATTTTGGTTTGCTAACTTTTGTGCTTTTGCTTTAAGGCTAGGACTGAGAGATCTTTGCAAACCGGTTGAAAACTCTTTATAAACTTCAGGGGCACTTAAGCGTGTGAAGGGAAAAACTTGGAATTGGTCTATTTGCAGCAGATATATGAACTTAATACATCTGAACTGAAGTCCTTTAAAATTGGCATCTCAATTCTCTGAAAAATAGTTGTGGGCAGGCTAAAAGTTGTAAATAGTGACGGTGTGGGTGTCACTAAAACTGGGAGATGAGCTCAGGAGCTGGAGAGATGCTCTGAAAGATGCTTGGGGTCTCAGTGTTTAGCATGAAGCAACAGCTGCCTTAGCCTGGGTGTTTGGATCAAGACTAGTAAAGGCTGCCAGCCTTTCTCTTCTTAGTACCTTTTTGCTTAAGTGTTTTGAGGGATAAATCTACTTAAGTGCTATGCTTAGGGTGACATTATAGGAGAGTTTGCAGTCTGCAGGCTTCATTTCAACAGCCCAGTAACTTATGTCCATCATAATTAATCACAATTAGGCCTGTTTTGGTGTTTTTTTCCAGTAGAAAATTTGAACTTGAACCCCAAACTTTGTCCCTATGCTGGAAATAATACCTCACATCACTTACTTTGCTAGAATAGGTACACCTTGATGCAGCATGCTTGAATGTTTTCTTTTAATGTGCTCACATTCGGGCATTTGAAGCTGATAAAACACAGTGCACATTAGTAGGATTCATACTTTCTTACTGGGTAAACAAGCATTTGATCCCAGAGATGTTGCTCAGAGTGTAAGTGAAGTGATTCTGTCAGAACTGCATGAACTGTACAGCTTGGAGCTTCTCACTGAACATGCTGAACTTTGAGTCTCCAGAACAGCTTGCAAAAACAGGTTTGGCCAGAGCTTGTCAGCTTGTGAACCCCTGGTGTCACAGCAGGGGACATTTAGGATTAGATGTTTGAGCTTGGCTGACATCTTATAGTGTTGACTTCAGAAGGCATTCCAGTATTTCCAGAGTAGAGAAAGTAATTCTCAAGTGCAGCAGCATTTAGTATTACCTAGGATGTCTCCCTTACATAGTAGGTTGTCAGTGTTTGTACCGATGGCAAACTGGACTGGTAAGTCTGCTTCTGTTTCTTCTGTGACAGGTGACTTCTGATACAACCAGACACTTAAGGGAAGGATTCATAAAGAGAAGCCTGGAAAGACTAAAGCTGCAAGAACAGGAGTTGAAAAAAAGGAAAGAGAAAAAAAAAAAAAAAGGGGGAGGGAAAAAGAGAAGAGGGTTGAAAGGTGAGGCTGTACTTTAGAGAATGTCCATCAGCTGTCTCTTCACATTTGTTACACTATTTCATACCAAGTGGCATCCAAGAAGGGAGTTGTCAACTGTAAAAACCCAGGCTTTGAGGAAACAGGAATCCAAGAACTCGAAGCAATGCCTTATAGTTTTTAATTTGTGTTACTGTGGGAAAGAGAAGCAACCTATCTCAGTGTGTAGGGCATCAGATGGAGTCTGTTACGAGAGAGTGGTTGGACTAGAGACATTCTGAGGTCCTTTCAGACTTGACCATTCTATGCTTCTGTGGACCTGGAGTGAAATCTGAGAGCTGTTGCCCTCAGATTGCACCAAAGCTTAAGATTCTGCATGAGGTTGTTTTCTTGTATTGTTTATATATTTACTTCTATTATTCTATGCTGCAGCATCACAAATCAATGTCTTTGTGGTTTGAAGTAGAGTTAATGTGACAGACACTTCTAGGTGCCTCCCACTTGACTGTAAGGTTCAAAGCTAGGAATGAGCTTTGTTTTTCTGCCTTTCCTTCCACCCAAGTAAAAACTTGTTGGGTTTTTTTTCATTGTTATCTTTAGGGCAGTGGTTTTGAATTTTGTATATGAGTAACAGTAGTATATAAAAGCTTAGATGCTGTGGCTAGTCTGCTTGTATTGCATCCTACACTGTCACTGGTAATTAGCCATGTTACACACCTCCATGTCTAAAGAAAAGCAAAGAAAAGAAAACCAACAAAAACAAAAAAACACCCTGAAATTTAGAATGCTGTGGCAGTTCTGTGGCACAAATAGAACTTGGTCAGGTTGGATGGGGCTCTGAGCACCTGGTGAAGCTGTAGGTGTCCCCGCTCACTGCAGAGGGGTTGGACCAGACGCCTTTGAAGGTCCCTTCTAACTGACATGATTCTGTGATTCTAACATAGTGTATAAAATGTTGGATCTCTGAAAATGTTGCTATGCTTCTATTTTTAATTGAATATCTTCTTACTCAAATGCTTTAAAGATAGGAATTTTAAATACTTGTGTGAGCACTTTGTTCCTTGAGTTTTCTGGAGTTTTCTTATCATATCATGTTGGTTGTTTAGTAGATCTGCTTTCTACAGGACAAGGTTTCAAAAAAGCAGTGGCAGCTTCATCTTGAATTTTGATTGATCATTGAATCATTGCATTTTTATAACAATGGAAGTGGTCTTGTAACTCTTAATGTCACCCTCATGCTAATCTGTAGGGGAGCTTTGTTAAGGTAAGAATTAGATCCATGTGCTCTGTCTCTGATTGTGTCCTTGGAGACAAACAATAATGTGAGTCTGTCTTCATGGCAGTGTGCATAAAGAAAACCCTAGAATACAAACCATCAGAAGAGGTAAATGCAGAACCACTGTGTTCTAAATGTGTGCATCGGTTAGACGCATGTCATCAACATGTGTTGTTTCTTTAAACGTGTTATTATTGTAACAACCATCATTTCTTATTAGTCAAATGTGGGTTCTTGGTGACAGGTTGCTTATTATTAGCAGTTCAAAGTCTGACATCCAATTTCCCAGGACTCCAAGTGTAAAACAAGCGTCATCTAAATTGTCCCATATTGATAATTACCTAGAAAAAAACGTGATGATGAACAAAAAGTTCAAGAGAGAAAAAAGAAAGCTAAGCTCAAGAAGAGAGGAGAGGCAGATAGATGGAGATGAAAAGCATCCCCAAAAGCAGCACAAAGTACCAGCTGAAGAACAGCAGTGGCCAGAGAATGTGCCTGAATGGGAAGAAAGGAAATCCCTGCTAGCTCAGAGAAGAGCGGAGTCTGTCAGACTGCTTACAGTGCTGTTAAACCATGTGAAAGTAAGAATACTTTAAAACGTATTTTACAATTTGAAGGATGTTTGTTAGAGCTTGAATAATTTGGTAGACGTTTGGTGTCTTATTGCTGTTTGAAAGAATGTCTTAGGAGTGACTGAACACTGAGAAGGCCTGAGGTCTAAATCTTGTGACAGTTTGTCCTTGGAGCAAAGGTGGTGTGATTCTACTCAGAAACTTGGATACTTGTTTGAAGCCTTGTCATTATTCTGTCAAGATAGGGCTGGAAGGACTGCATCAACTCTTATTGGACTTGATCCAACACTGCAAACAGGGAAATTAAGGGTGGGAATGTAAAATTGATGTTTGGCCTCATGTCTGCAAGTGAAAGAATTAAGTCCCTATGGATTACGCTGATTTCATTTCCAATAGCTTCTGTGTTGTGGCCAACACTAAGCTGTAAGTTTTATTTGATTGACTTAGATAATATCTTGAGAAAGTCAGCAGAGGAGTGGTACACACTGCAGTGTTATACACAGAAATTCATGTTTGGAGGCTTGTTGTAGTGCTTTGGGGTGAAAAAGTTTGAAATCTTCGGGGTGCAAACGTGACATTTTCTTCATCATTTGCTACATAAAAATTAGCTCGCAGCTTTTAACAAGTCGATTTTTCAACGTTTAAGATTTTTAAAGGTCCGCCATTCACTAAGAGTTAATTGCCATTCTGTGTGAATTTTAGGGCTCCACAACACCTGATTTTGGCATTAATTACATAGGTTGCTCAGAAAGTAATGCCTCCCATTTATTTCCATGAAAGCTACGACAGACAGAAAGAGCACGATGACACTATTTTATGGAGCAGATTTTCAGCTGTGTATCACTGATTTTCAACATGAACTGATTCATGCAGATGAGCTGATCAAGATGTTCTTTATTTCGTGGTGTGACAGCTGTGCATGGCCATCCAGAACATGGTTTGTCTTTCATTTCGCTGTCACCACTGCTGAAATGCACCACCCAGCCCTCACTGCACTGACATCCACTGTTTGGTCTCCATCAGTGTTCACCAAGCCTTGATGAATGTCAGTGGATCCCATTTTTTTCTGCGTGGAGGAATTCAGTTCCACCCCATTGCTTTATCCACACTGCCGTGTCAGAAACTATTCTGTCTCTGCTGCCATCTGTCACACGGCCACACACTGTAACAGGACATTGGTGGGAAGGGTCAGCCTCTACTGCCATACCACCAGAATCCTCCACTGATGTTGTGGGCCAACAGGATAACATAGGAGGCATTACTTTTGGAGCAGCCCTTGTGTGAATTTGATGACTTAAATGTTTATTTTCTTGGTTTCAACACATGGGAAGCATTAGATTGGTTGTATTTGGACCCATTAAAATTGTGTACAGCAAAATAATTAGTCTAAATAAAATATTCTTATCTACAAAAATCTAGCAATTTTTCTATTGTAAACAACACTGGTTGTGATGCAGTAATCAAACAATAAATGTTGTCTGAAGCAATTGTAGGGAGGTAGAGGAATTAGTTGGAAGGACAACTGTCTTAGTTACTTTAGAATGCCCTGTTCTGAGACCAAGAGGCAGCTTTAGTTCTGGGCTAGGAGTAGTGAGACTGTGTGATCAAGCTCTGAATTAAGCTAAATTTATCTCCTTTGTAATTCTTCTGAATGTAGAACTGCATATTGATGAGTTTGCAACTTGCAGTCTTTATAGTTCTCTGTGCTCAATAAACGTACATAATCGTTTTCCCAATTTTCATTTGAAGGATTTTGTGCAGTTGGCAAATCAGAAAGTGGATCCTTCACCGGGCGTAAGGAAGAATGACTCCTTTTCTGAAGCAGCATTAAAAGCCATACATCAGAAACAGATTAACTCCTGTTATCTTATGCACAAAGATTTGGAACACAAGGAAGAGCTTAAGTGTCAGTTAACCCAAAAAAGTAGCAGCTTATGTTGTGAGGAAGGAGATTTGACTGCCTTCTGTGCATCTACTTCTCATATAGTCAAGACAATTTTAAATGACCCCGCTGCAGCTCTGAGTTCTGGCAGATGGACTGGCAGAGATGCATACAGCTCCTTTGGCTGTGGATCTTTACTGATCACAGTGACTCAAGACTGCAAGGTCATTGAATCTCTAGATGGAAGGGACTGCCAAACACTGAACGTGGTTCACCCACAGACGGGGTCTGAAGATGGTTACAGAAAGCAAAAGGTTTATGAGACCGATGAATTCATTCATTATTTACTAAACTACTATCAGACACCAAGCTATGAACGTGTTTCCCTAGGGACAAAAAACTCTGCAAACAAGTCCTGGTGGAAGAGGGTGGTGTGTGATGATGACAGTGGTTTTCACATCAGCTTGTGTAACAGGCAGGGTCGGCACTTCAGAGAAGTGAGTCTTGTACAAAATCTCAACAGCAGAAATTGCGTTGGTGATGATAACTGTAGACTAGTGATCACTGCTGGGGAATTGGAATCAACAGACGCAGTGTTGAAAAATAAGACCTGTGCAGATAGGCTTGCAAGGAAGCTGCAAATACAGAGGAATGACACACTCACTGTTGATTACTTATCACATGCTGAACCAAATCATTCTTTGGATTGCACTGCTGCCGCTCGTGATGAGGAATTTGAACAAGAAGATGGTAGAAATCAAGTTACCAAACAGTACAAAACTTGTAGATCTTACCAGTTACAGGACTTGTTGGAAGAGATCAGTGATTCTGAGTACTTCAGTGAGGCATGCAGCGGTGCAATGAAGAGTGCAGAAAGGAGTGAACAAATTGACAGCAATTGTAACAGAGGGTGCTTGCCTGCAAGAGAGAAAGAGAGAAAATTACTGGTTTATTTCAAGAATGTTACTCTGGAAGGTCAAACGAAGGAAAGCAGCAAATGTGACTTCTGTTCTAGTTCTGCCCATGAGGGCTTGGCTAGGCAGTGTGATCATAACCTTGAAAAGTCATGCAAGAGGTCTAGCAGTGAATTAAGACATAAAGGACAGAAAAGTGAGAGACATTTCAGGGAAGAGGAGAGAAACACTTACAAAATGAAGAAAAAGAGGAAAAAGCTTTCTTCTGATGTTTTATCTGATGAATGTGGCTTTTCAGAGACCGAGAGTTGCATACAGCTGGAGTCACTCAGAAAGATAGAAAGAAGATGTAATAAAGCATTCCACAACAAAGTGAAATTCAAGACACTTCACGCAGGCACAGCAGCACCAGGCATTACTGCTTCTGACTGCTTTCCACTTCAGGAGACACTTCGGCGCACAGGTGAGAGAGGTAAATCAGAGCTGAGGTGAATGCAGTTGATAGTCGTAGTTCTCTGGCAGGTGAGATTAATTGCCACAGTTCTCACAGTTCTCACAGTGACGAACGGTAAGTGTTTGTAAAAGCTTAACAGAGTGTGCAAAGGGTACAAAAAGACTGTGATTGCACTGCTGCTAAAGGTTTTGTCAGTTCAGCTCAGAAACACTTCAAGCAGCTGCAGTTGGAGTCTCTTAATTGGGTAAAATGTTGGTAGGTAGGTGGTTATTCTGTTAATAAATGTTGGTAGATAGGTGGTTATTCTGTTGATAACAACATGCATGCTGATGACTCCACGTGCTCTCGAACAATACAGAGTTGTGAGGTGGCTCAGTATGCAGTGCATCTGTGTAGGAGGTGCTGTCTCAAGTCAGTGGATTTCAGTTCAGGTGGCCATCTGATTTCCATACGCAGTTGCTGCATCTCTGAATATTGTTATTCGCAGCCTTTTCTCAATGTACGATGCTTACAAGTTGGCTGGCAGCTACCTAACAGCCAGCTCCTCATATCTTCCCCTCCTTCCCCCTTCACAAACTAATTTCAAGTAACTTTCTCATATACTTATCTACAGGAGATGAGAGGAAATTAATATTGAGAAGAGAGATGGATGCAGATGAAAGAGGATGCCCTCTCTTTCCTCTTGAGATAATTCAGACAAATCCCTGCTCAGATACTTTCTGTGGAGCAGAGCCCAGAAGAGGATGCTGAACAGCTACTATATAATAGCTCTTAAGCTCCTTTTAGAAGTGGAAGAAGAAAGCCCTTTAGCCGTTAAAAGGTATTGGAAGTACTTGGGCTTTTTTTCCTTAGGTAATTCCTTCAGTTAGAATGGTCTAACTGGTGTAGCAAGCCACAGAAACAGAATCTCTATTTACCTTTTGGATGCAAGGACCAAAATTTTCTCCAGGGCCAGACAAGCTTTTGTGGACCAGTTGCTCAGAATTTGAAGATTTATGGATTCAGATTTCAGAGATAAACTCTGATTGATATTTACACAATTCCCTACGTTTACAGATACAGTATTTAGTAATATCAAGTCCCTAGAAAAACAAAAACAACAACAACAACAACCACATAAATATATAAATCATAGAGCAAGGATATGAAGTGCCTTCTCGATCAGATTGTTAAAATGATGGAATTGGAAGCTGTGGGGGACATTTATATGTAATGGTGGAGAATAATAGATTTCTAAATAAGAAAAAAATATATACTGTAATGTTCACAGTGGAAAAATACTTGTTTATTATTCACAGTTCTGAAAGTGTTTCTGAAAACCTGCTGGTCTTTGGAAGGAAGGATTTCACAATAACTGCTAGATGTAGCGCTTCTGAGAATCTGATTTTCTAAGCACAGCTCTGAATGTTGGACAGTGAAAGAGCAACGTCTGTCAGCATGTTGACAGCTCATACTTAGCAGGTTGAAAATACCATAGAATCATAAAGTCAAAGCGTGGCTTGGGTTGGAAGAGACCTTAAAGCTCCCCCCAGCCCCAGCCATGTGGCGGGCTGCCTGCCCACCCAGCTCAGCCTGCCTACAGCCACCCAGCCCAGCCTTGGGCACCTCCAGGGATGAGTGCACACAGCTCTGGGCAGTGCCAGGGCCTCACCGCCTACTGCATAAAGAATTTCAGCCTAACATCTAATCTAAGTCCCCCTTGTTTTAGTTTAAAAACATTCTCCCTTGCCTCCTTACACAGTCGCTATCAGACCATGTAAAAAGCTGGTCCCACTCCTGCTTATAAACTCCCCTCAAGTTCTGGGAGGCCGCAGTGCAATCTCCCTGGAGATCTCTCCAGGCTGAACAAGCCCAGCTCCCTCAGCCCTTCTTACAGGAGAGGTGCTGCAGCCCTGTGAGCATCTTCACGGCTTCCTCTGGACTTGCTCCAACAGCCCCACATCCTCCTTGTGCTGGGGGCACCAGGCCTGCTCACAGTACTGCAGATGGGGCCTCACAAGAGCAGAGCAGATGCAGACAGTCCCCCCCCTGCTGCCCGCCCTCTGCTGATGCAGCCCAGGTCACTGTTGCCCTTCTAGGCTTTGAGCACACACTGCTGGCTCATGCCTAGTTTTTCACCCTCCAGGACCCCCAGGTTGTTCTCTGCAGGGCTGTTCTCAAGGAGTTTTTCTCCCACTCTGTGCACATATCTGGGATTGCCCCACTGCAAGTTCAACACCTTGCACTTGGCCTTGTTGAACATGGTTAGGTTTTCATGGATCCACTTTTCAAGCCTGTCCAGGTCTGTCTGGATGGCATCCCTTCCCTCCAGTATGTCACCCTGCTCTGCTCAGCTTGGTGTCATCACCAAACTTGCTGAGGGTGCATTGATCTGTCTGTGCCACTGATAGAAATGTTGAAGAGCACGGGTTCCAAGATGGACTCCTGTGGAGCACCACTTGTCACTGGCCCGCGCCTGGACCTGGGAGCCATTAACCACAACCCTATGGCTGTGGCCATCCAACAAATTCCTTATTCTTAGTAATCCACCCTTCAAATCCATTTCTCTCCCACTTAGAGGCAAGAATGCGATAAGTTCACGAGATTTCAAGAAGCTGTCCTTTGGAGGGCACATGCAGTGAGATAGCTATTTAGTGCAATTAAGCTTACATAAAATTTCTAGAAGAATTGTCAAATGCTGTTCAATTCCTGCTGCATGGAAGTAAAAATGTGAAAACTCAGTCTGGGAGCTTGAGTTATATCCGCATTTACTCAGACAACTGTATTTAGCAGACAGTCACAGTTGCTCTGGGCCAAAGTCCCACAGAGAGACAGAGAGGACCAGTTCTACTCACAACACACTAATTATTTCAACTTTCATTTTAGTATGCTTAATTTATTACGTGTCAGTATGTAAATGTGATGATGTTGCCTTCCTTATATAACATATTACCCACATTTGTAACTTCTGCTCCAATAAATCATCATTTTGTAAAAAACTGTAGTTGTTTGTGGTAGATTGGTTTTCTCCCAGTGCTCAGTATTGGTGATTCATGCAGGCATCTGAGCCACACTCTGCCAGATTCTGCCTGTTGCCTCTGTTCACACGTTCAGATGCTGAGTGCCTTCTGAGGATCACGAATGACTACTCAAAATTGTGTTACCCAATTGCTTTTACCTAAAAAGCAACCACCCCCTCCCCCAAACACCTTATTTTCTTGACAGAAGTATTTTCTATTGTGGAAAACATTCATGCCTCTTTTAAGTTTCCTTTTTACTGTTTTATGCAGTTACAATGAAGACCAGCTGATATATTTGTGAAATGTTTCAGTTGCACCAACAGGACCAAGGCTGTTTTCTTCTCTATGCACTAGTTGCATATAAAAGAAAAGATGACAGAATTTCCCCTTGTCAGTCAGTTCTGCACTGTAAGTGCCCTTTTCCCATATGTCAGACCTTTCAATTAGGGATGAGAAGGTATTTGGGTTTGTTAATCTATGGGAGGAACTATGGATTTCCTTCAGTGTAAATGCCTAGGATCTTATCAGTGTCAGTGTCCCACTAGTCAGTATAAACAAATAAATGCACCAGTTCTGTAGTTGCTTCTGGTGTTCACCTGTATTGATTGGAATTGATAAAGCAGATCTTTGTCTCCAAGTCCTTATTCAGTGTAAAACATTGTTAGTGAATAAAACTTTAAACAGACACCATTGTATCTTCTGTAGCAAAATGTAATTTGTGTTTCTTTTTTCTTTGTGAGTTGGGATTACTTAGAACCTGTTCCTAGGACATTTAGTATTAATCCCTCACTTTTCCTTCCTGTGCACTTAACTCAGGCCCCATCTTCCCACACGCTGAACTGTTCTGTAGAATTGTGTTGGTTATCTTGAAGGCTAATCTTTAAGCATACATAAAACTTTCCAATTCTAGCTTAGTAAATTAAATTTCAGTTGCTTTCAGGAATAAATGTTTTACCTAACAGGAAAGTTAAGGGATGTGTATATAATTTGAGCATTTAATAGGCAAAAAGCATTCAAATAGTTGAGCATGTAACATTCCTATTATAATTTCGTATCTTGGAGCTTGGTTTATGCTGTTACAGTGAGGTGGTGTTTCAAGAGGTGATGGGGTTTAACTTGTGTGGGTTATTGCTTTTCTGGTATGTATATATTTTGTGGAAGCGCTGCTTACTGTTCTTATGACACCTGTAAGCCCTGTGAAATAGGGCCCTGTGGCTGCAGGCCTTGCCATCAGCTCTAACTTCACGTACAGAACTAAGGTGCCCCCAGCAGAGCTAGTGCCATCAGCTGTGGGGAGCTGCCTGGTCTGGAGCTTTGTTATCTGAGCTGTGTGGGCAGTTGTACTTCATGCTGAATTCCAAAGTCAAAATCCCAGTCGCGGTCCTACAGACGGTTTCTGAAGCAGAAATACATTACTCCTATTATTGTACCAGTCCACCTGCTGGACGTGTAATAAGAATACATTTATAGTATATGGCCTTTTCCATATGCTGGACATAGAACGCTGTGTAGGAATGCCTCCCCATTTATTTCACCTTCTGTAAAACCATGTAACTCTCAGCAAAAGCATTCGTTACTAACCTGTGTGTACATACAACTTGAAGTAAGAGCTAGCAGAGGGCATTCAGAGTAAGCAGCGTCCAGGTGAAGGAAATTCTGAATTTTACAATGCAGGTGACAGTTTGCCACCACTGGTTGGATATGAGATGCTGCTCAATTGCTCTGATTTGTGCCAGGGCTCAAGTATGCTGTCATGACATCTGAATAACTGGTATTTCAACACTTCACAAGGCAGATTCATGACAGTCTCTGCACTTAGCTTTTCATTGTGCTCTCCTTGGTTAATATACAAACTGTTCAGCTACTGGCATGGTTCTTTTTGCTTAGTCACTGCAGCCAGTCATTGCTGAAGGGATCAAGTTGCAACAAACAGTAGAAAACATGAGCAGATACCCATTTTCTCCAGCACTTCAGCAGAAAAGATGTGCCTGCCTGTTTGTGGAATCTCTGCTCTTATGACACATGCCTTCCCTTTCACAATGAGTATTCTGGTTTTCTCTGAAAAGGTCTTACCCTGAAGGGTGCAACTTCACGCACCTGTGTTTAACATTAAGCTTTGTCCTGTGTTACTGCCAGTTTTCTGTTTGTTTATTCTTTAGGATGCATCAAATTGTATTGTACAGATATGCTCTCAAAATGGTGTTCAGTTCCTCGGGGTATGTTGCTGACTAACATAAGAGCTGGTGTTGGACCCTCTGAAGGGTAGGCTGTAGCCCTGCCTCACTCCACTACAGTGTGGTCTTCCAGAGCAGCTTTTGCCCAGTGTCAGCAGTTACTCAGGCTTTTTTCATGCTTAACTCTGTTTTTGCAACAGTAAAATATATGTGAATGTGTTCTATGTTTCATATCCTGTTAGAAAAATAATATGCCATAGAGCTGCATTTAGAGGCATTCAGCTTGAACAGTCCAGTCATGGAATAATAGAAGAAAGACACTGGAGAAAGACTATAAAACTTGTAACGCTGGGGGCGATTAACCATCAATTTCAATTGCAGTAAATAAAAAGAAACACCACCCTTAAGCAAGACTTTTATTTTCTGCCTTAAACAGATAAAAGCACATTTCTGATTTGAGGTAAACCATTAGAAGTAGTTTGCAGAGAGTATAAATGTCTCTAAAAATAAAACAGCAACACAAAGGTCATGACAAGACTTTCATTTGTCTCTAGACCTTCATTAGGTAGTTCACACAGTAACTCTATACAAGCAATCTGGCTCAAACAACTGCACTGCTCGTTTGAAAGGCCAGTGTAAGTGACAGGGAAAAAGCCCATGGCTGTGTTACGACTGATGCAGAGTCATTGGTTGTCATTGCAGTTGGTGTCAGGCACTTGAACATGTAGTGTCACCTTGTTTATGAAAGCTCCTGCTGCACAGTACACTCCACTTCTGAACAATTTTGCCTACTTTGTAGCGTCCCACTCAGGACTGTGCTCACCATTTTGGTCACGTTCCCAATTGGAAACAACTCAGCAGAAGAGTGAAACCAGAAAAACCAAATAATGGGAACTGTAGCCCTTGGCACCCACACAGAACCACCTGGACAAGGCAGCACACTGATAAGAGAGCAGCAAATCATCAGTTACCTCCTTAAAATTTCTGATAAATTTTGAAGATATATTTTGGATGATGAAGGAGCACATTCCCATTTTTCCTTAGTCAAATCCACGCATCCAGCCCATTTTGGTAGGAGACTGGATAACATGGATGGAGCAAACCCAGTAATTAGGGACAGATTA